CTCAGCTACGGGAATGCCTAAGTGCAGTGAAAGAATGAAGTTTGCTCGGAAGGGCGTAAAGAGGTGCCCAAGGGCACCTAAGATGTTTGCTTCTTGCTAAATCAAAAATGCAGAACAGAAAATGGAGTCAACCGACCGCCAGGAAGGCCAGTGAATCAGCTCTTCTTACCGGCTGCTCTTGGTTACGGTCAACTTTCTGCAGCCCCCAAAAACATCACATCACTGGCACCAACTTAAAAGGAAGAAACAAAGAGACAACAGGGGTCAAACTTTGGGGTGGAGGAGCTGGGGGCTGGGGGTGGGGTTGAGTCATGGGCTTGAGACCCACATCAATCATCCCTGCACACTGACAGGATTCCTGATTGAAGACGGTAGTCATGAAGAAAGGCGGCACTGCAATGGCCCAGCCCCCAAATTGGGGCAATTACTACCTTATGAGCTCTGGGGACTGACTCCTTTCCCAGGCCAGTGGGAGGGAGAGCTTGGAATTCTAAACTGTTCCAGCTACAAGAGACCTCAGCCAACACCTCTCACCCCAGGTCACGGCATCCTTAGAGTGAGATCCCTGGCCTCATCCCTGAGCACAGAGCTTTTAACCAGGAAGCTCCCAGAGGAAAACCCCATCTCCCAGGACCTCTCCCAGGAGAACTAAGGTGGTGTGGGCTCCCTAGACTTCATGGCATAGCTTAACAGATCCCCTTTCTGGAAGTATGGGCAGGAGGGGAACTATGCTTAGGTTTCATTAGGTTTTCAATGTGGGGTGGGAAGAAGGGGCAAAATCTTTAAAAGAGAAAAGCAAAAAACCAGCTGAAATGAATGAAGGGCTGACCTTCCATTTTAGCGCATGCCACTACAGTACAATGATTTGTTTACCCGGCTCCCATAGTCCAAAGGTAAGAACCATGTTTAATCTACTTAGGCAAACTTGCTAACAAACAGCTAACATTTATCCAAGCCTGCAGTAACGGAGTAGCCTGTGTTGAATGGTTTGAATATACTATTATCTCATTTAATTTTTACAATATTCTCACATGATAATTTATTACTACTCCAGCTCTCCCCCCATTTACAGATAAGAATCCTGAAGTTCAGGGAGATTAAGTGTTTTGCACAGGGTCACAAGAAGTGCCCAAGCCGGGATTCAAACCCAGGGATGCCTGTGCTGCTTAATCACCGAGCTATGTACATGGTGGTTAAGGTAAGTGCTTGGCAAATGTCTGTTTGCTGAATGAATGAACAAATGAATGGGTGCAGAGCCCAGTTTAGGGAATGCTCCTGAGTGTATCTGGGAGAAAGAACCTGACCCTGTCAGCTCTAAGCTGGATGGAGAGCGGCAAGCACAGGCATTCATCAGAGCTATTTATAGGGCAAAACCCGGGCCCTGCCAGCCAGCCAGTCCAGCCAGCCAGTCCGTAGGAAGTCTTTCCTGGGACACGGAATCCCACCATGCTGAGAAGGGGAGAAGGACTTCCCCTGCTGAAGATGAGATGGTAATCCAGACACAGTCTGGGGCCCAGATGCCCCATGGCTAGGCAACTATGGCAAACCTGTGGCTAGGCTTCATCAAGGAATGTAGAGATTGTGGTTGTAACAGGCTCTAATAGACTTACTCAACCAAGGGCATGGAACTGTCTCATAATTATGAGATATGCTCAGTCATTAAAAAAGACAAGTCTTCTTCTTAAAGTAGTCCCTGAAATTCCCTATCCAGGAAGCCCCTGGTATTGACCTTCTCTTCAAAGGAGAAGCAACATAGCCAATCCTTCCTATTTTTCCTCTTCTTAGGGACCAAGATTATCAGCCAATCAGTAGAAAGAGTGAGCAAAGACCTATAAAATACCCTGTCCTCTGTGACCTTCTGTGTTCTTTGCTGGCCCAGAAGATGGACATGCCCAACACGTTCTGTATCAGACATAGCCAGACTGGTTCCCTTGCACCTGTCATTCTTAATACCATGTGCCAGTCCCAAAGATGTTATCTGATATTCAAGAGGGGATAGAAGAGGAAATCCAAAATCAGTGACAAGCCAAGCATCTTTCACAAGTCCAACAAGATCAGGGACAAGGTCAATCAAGCACCATGCCAACAGCCAGATGGAAAGGAGATCAGTCTCAGCTCTACTCTTTTGCACTCAACCTCAGAAATAGCCTTCTATCTACTTAAGCACCTGGGCAGAATTTTCGACTTTTTGCTTACCTGGAAGAGATCTCCAAGATAAACATGGTTTCTACTCTTCCAATGGTGGTAGACTCTCTGAGGCCTCACCTCAACCCTCAGGAGAAAGATACCCAGGGCTATCAACAGCAATCAAGTTTCCTAACAAAATCTTTAAGGTTGAAGTGTTATGTAGGTTCAGGCCAAACACATAGGCTCTAGGAAAAGCCCACAGGACTAGCAGCATCCAAATAAGCACCTTAAACCTTAGTGTATTGCATCCATACTATAAAACACTGTCTTCTCCATGAGCCCCTGGAACATAGTGTTAAGGACCTTCTTGGTGATATTTCTGGTTGAGCAATTGCTCAGGCTCATTGGTGAACCATGAATCTGTCCTTTCCCCCCACACCCCAGACCTCCAAGGATGGTTCAGTATCAGGCTAGGAGAAGTTCAGATCTTCCTGCCCCTGAGTGTCCTTACACACGCACACAGAAAGTCTCCCATGCTCAGAAGTTTCTATTAAACTTTTTGTCCCCAGGGCACCTGGGTGGCTCAGTGGGTTAAGGGCCTGCCTTCAGCTCAGGTCATGATCTCAGGGGCCTGGGATAGAGCCCAGCAAGGGGCTCCCTGCTCAGCACGGAGCCTGCTTCTCCCTCTGCCTCTGCTCCTCCCCCTGTTTGTGCTCTCTCTCAAATAAATAAATAAAATCTTTAAAAAAAGTTTTTATCCTTAAAAAGAACCCAAAAGAGGGGCACCTGGGTGGCTCAGTCAGTTAAGCGGCTGCCTTCGGCTCGGGTCATGATCCCAGTGTCCTGGGATCGAGTCCCACATCGGGATCCCTGCTCAGCGGAGCGCCTGCTTCTCCCTCTCCCTCTGCCTGCCTCTCTGCCTGTTGTGCTTCTATCTCTCTGTCAAATAAATAAATAAATAATCTTAAAAAAAAAAAAAGAACCCAAAAGAGTTATCAAGAAGCCTCCCATCCTTTCTCTGTGAAGCATTAAATATACACAACTTTCTACCTCCATTCTCAGTGCAGATGTAGTATATGCAGTTTTGACAGCTCTGGAACAATAAAAGCCTCTTGGCCAGTCTCAGCCCAGAACCTTCCAGCTCCCCTTTCCCTAGGGCAGAAGGCGACAATCTCCTCTCTGGTTTTGTTGGTATCCGTTTTAGCCTTTTTTTTTTTTCTTTCCTTTTTTCCCAGTGCCGTGCCATTTCCCTTGATCTTTTTCAAAACTTCCTCCAGGGGGCCGAGAGGAAAGTTCCATCCCCTTCTCTTGCAGCCCGAAGGGGGAAACCCCCCAAAAAGCATAGCTGTCCCTTTAAGGGGCCCATGTGGTGGGAAGAGCAGCTACATTCCTACCCCAGTAGGGCCGCTGTCCCGACACGCCAAAGAGGCTACAAATAACCTTCTAGGAGAGAGCCCGGGAGGGGGAGAGCACAGTGCGAGGAGGAACGTGGCTCGGCCAGGCTACTACGCGGAGGGGAAGAGCGGAGAGCAGAGAGAAAGAGCTCAAGTCGGCGTTAGAGAGGGCATGGAAAAAGTTTAAAACCCACGGGTAGTTTAAATAACAGACACGAGAACTCTGTTTTGGGTTTGGGAGGTAAACCAATCTTTAAAACGAGTGCCCAGGCATCTCCACGCCCTGCCAGGCAAGTTCCGAAATCCGCACTATTTCCACACGAGCTCCCGCACGCTAAAGAAAGAACCGGTGCAAGCCAGGCCCAGGGTCTAGAGACCCCTCCGTTCCGAACCCCACCCCCTCCTCCCGGCTGCGAGAATGAGAAGATTCGGATCCCCTCGCCCCGGCTGAATCGGGTTGGGGTTCAGAGATCAAAATTCTTTGATCTTTGGGCACAAACTAGAGGAAGCTGCTAAATCACGGGGTACACCCTCGGTGCTAGGCGACTGCGGAGAAACAGATTCCACTGGAGCTCTAATCACACACAACAGTTGCGTACGGGCACCAAACAAGTTATTAATAAGGAGCAGATGAAGCAGCAGTTCTGCTGCCATCCGTCCAGCTCCCCCGAGGGTCACCGCGCGGACCCGGAGGCTGCCTTCTGATGTTCGGCGATACCCGCCCCCCCGCCCCACTACTCCGGGTAGGACGGATCTGCGGGAGCCTTCCAGCAGTTTCTTCCCTGTGTCCCTCCTCTGCTTCTTTTCCAACCCGGTCTCCCCCCCCCCCCCACCGGGAAGGATCCAGGGCCAAAGCTGATTGGTCGAAGCCAGGAGAGGGAACCCAAAACACCACTAAGGGGAGATGCTGCGAGCAAGCAGTACCCAAAGACCCTCGGTGGGAGCAAGGTCTGGAGTCCGAGGAACTGTTCCCCGAGTAGGGGAATCCCCAGAACACAAGCATTCCGATTCCACTGGAGCCCCGCTCCGGGAATCCGCTCCAGACCCCCGGTCCCTGCAAAGAGGGCTTTTTACAATTTATGGTTTAGCGACCATCCTTCCCCGCCTCCCTTTCTTCGCACACATTCATTCTTACCAAGGACACAGAGACCCTGTCTTAACCTGAAAGGGAAGCAGCCCCCAGTTCTTCAAAGAGCGGCGAGGGAAGGCGAGCGGGCGCCTCGGATCTTCCCTGAGCCCGGCCCAGATCCGAGCGGGAGAGCTCCTCCACGGCCGCCTCTCTCGGGCTGGAAGAGTCGGGGGACCTCCTGCTTCTCTCCTCTGCACGCACGCTCAGGGCTACTGCTTGGAGTGAGGGCGCGGGGTCTCAGGCCCCAGCCCGCGCCGCCCGGTTTTCGGGAGGTGAGTCCTGCTGCGGCCGGACCCACGAACAAACTTTCCCGGCGGGCCGGGCGGCGCAGGCACGGCGGCGCCGCTTACCGTGTGCGCAGAGCAGGGCGCCAAGGAGCAGCGCGCCCCACGGCCGCCTCATGGTGCTGCGGCCGCCGCCGGCGCTCCCTGTCGGCCGGGGGTCCCGCCGGCTCCCGCGGGACGGCGCGGCGGAGGGAGTCGGAGCAGGGTCCCGGAGGGGAAGCGTCCCGGTCCGCGGCGGCCGGCGCGTCCCGCAAGTCGCCCTCCGGCCGCTGCTGCCTCCAGTGCTGCCGGAGCCGAAGCCGCCCCGCCAGGGGACCGGGAGGGGGGTGTCCCGGGCCAGGCCGCCCCGCCCCCCGCGCCGCAGCCCCCGCCACCGCCACCGCGCCTGGTCCCGCCCCCAGCGCCGGGCCGGCCCCTTCCCGCCCTCGGCCCCCGCCCCCCGGTCCCCGGCCCCCACCCGCCAGCGCCTCTTGCACTGGCCCCGTTCTTCAGGCCACCCCCACATTCGGAGTCCTCGAGAGAGAGCCCCCCTCCGTGTCCCCATTACTACTGCTCAAATGTCCCTAACTTAAAACATTATCCCAGCGGCAACTCTCTCGATCCCTCTCACTCTGTGCCAGAGAGGAGCACCCGGGCTGACCCAAGTCGCGGGGACGTGACCCCGGGCCCCCTACCAGCCCAAGCCCAGACTTTATTGATGTCTCAAGAATACGCAAGGCTTGCTAATGCATAATCCTCCTAGGTCTTTATTAACATCAAACAAGGGACATTAGGGGGCCTGGAGTGCTGTATCTTAACTAGCATTCTCACTGTCAAAATTCCTTTTCTGAGATTTTCTTCTTGCTCCACCCCCACCCCGGTCTAGGCAGCGTTGTTCTAGGGCTAAATAATTCCACGACCTCCCCTTTTCATTTACTCATTTCCTGAGGTGGTTGTCTGGGTCCTGTCGCCCCAGCTCAGACGTCCAGAATTGATCCAGACATAGTTCCTCCTTGCTGTCTTTGTAAATCAGCGTTGTTAGCCTTTTCACCTTCTTTGACTTTCTGATCCTGGCAAGGAAGGAAGGGGGTAAGGAAGTAAGTCTTTACTTGTAGTTGCACTTTCCCAGAGACCGGAGCCTCCTCTAGGCTTCCGTTTGTGGGGCCTTAACAGCAGTATTTAACTTTCCGGTTACTGCAGAAAATTATAAACTCCTCGCTTGTCTTAGCTTCGTGGCCTATGCTCTCCCCAAAGTGTATTCATAATGAGTTAATTTTGTTTTTTGGTTGAATCTTACCTTGTTACTTTTGTCCAAGCCCCCAGCTTCCTTAGGGTTCTATTATCAGCTTTCCCTCCAAGCTGGTATGCCGACATTCCCTGGCTTTGGATCTTCTGCAATCTCATTAAACCACTTTCTTCTTAGTAGTAAATAGAGTCAGGAAGACCCAAATGCTCCACGTCAGCTGAGGGGAGAGCAATTTGGTATAGTGCAAAGTGGATATTAGGAGATTTCTCCAGTGGCGAGGTTGACATTTCATCCTTGCTTGTTTTCAATGTTGCAAAAGGCTTTCACTTCATATTATCATTTTTGGCCAAAACTAACATGAACTTTGCAACAGCAACAACAACAACAACAAAAAGTGAAGTGTTAACTCCTTTAGCCAGTACTTTTCTATACTGTTCTGCCTGAAATTTTTACACAGATGAAATGTGGTTGAACCAGCATCACCATGGTAACTAATAGGGAGGCATTTTCTCTGTGTGTAGTTCTTCTTGCTGACTGAAGGCGGCAGTCGAGTCAGGTCAGGATTACGAGATCGTACTGCTAGGAAAGACAGTCGACCTTGATGACCTCCGTCACCTTAGCCTAAAATCCAAGAAGTGAAAAGTGGAAGCTGATTCTAACACCCATCTCCCTCACCCCCACAATGTTTGTGATGCGGCCTTGGGTTGGTCTCAGAGTTTCGATACATGCTGTTCATGCCTTTTGACCTGTTGAGAAAGATCTTAACTATTCCGGAGACCATATTTTTTCCACATGAAAACTAAGGACATGTGGTATAATGAATACATTTGTCCCAAAAAATCCAGGACAGGCAGTCACCATACTTTCAATGTCAGGGGATTAAGAATTTATAAACATCTGTATACAAAGGATAGGTTTCCTTCCAGAAGGCATGATTTATGTTGTTTTTCTGGGATTGAGGAGGAAGGGGGAGGCTGGCTGTCCCCGTCTGACTCAGGCTCAAGAGACTGCATTTTGTGTGTGCATCCCAAGGCCTCCTCCTCCGTGGTTCAGTACGGTTCTGGTGCACAGAGCCATCCCTGGCTGCTGTGAGTCATTGGGAATATCAATGGGTAGAAAGGAACTTCGTGCATAGTCCCTGCCTGGGTCACCCCCTAGGGTGAGTTAAGTCTTGGCTGTCAGAAACTGCTCTTATGCCAGGAGTGCTAAGCCATATTTATTTTTACCAGGCCTCTCAGACTTTCTTGTTTGGAGTGAGAGATCCTGAAAAGCATGCCAGAATGGGCTGTTTGTCTCCCTTTTATTGTCCTTTGGGAAATGCCCCTAGAAAAGTTGTAGGGGACTGCCAATTCCGGAGGGGTCTCAGAGGCATTAGTATCCCCAGAAACACCACCCCTTCCTTCATCCTTCTAGGACAGACCAGGGAACTGCGTTTCCAAGATCAGAATATTGCCCTGAATTAGACCATCACTAATGGCCTTTTCAAAGGAAACACAGGGAGTGCTACAGAAACCAGATAGAAATGGGCACTATTTTGATCTGGTTGGGTTGGAAGAATTCTCTTATAACCTAGGCATCATTCAACAACCTGAATTTCTAGACATAATCCACCTGAAAGAGTAACAGGCCTGAAGTTTTACACTTTAAAACAGTGGTTCTCAATCAGGAGTGATTTTGCAGACCTGGGGCAATCCCAAGAGACAGTTTTGGGAGTAGGTGCTATTGGCAGTGAATGGGTAGACTCCAAGGAAGCTGCTAAACATCCTTCCATGAACAGGACATCCCTCCCCACAAAGAATGATATAACCAAGAATTATCCAGCTCCACATTTTAATAGTACTGAGGTTGAGAGACCCTGCTTTAAAAGATTAAGAACATGAGGGGCACCTGGGTGACTCAGTCAGTTAAGCATCTGACTCTCGATTTTGGCTCAGGTCGTGATCTCAGGGTTGTGAGATCAAGCCCCGTGTCAGGCTCCAAGCTCAGCACAGAGTCCGCTTGAGATTCCCTCTCCCTCTCCCACTGCCCTTCCCACTCAAGCTCTCTCTCTCTCTCAAATAAATAAATAAATCTAAAAAAAAAAAAGATTAACATAAGTCTACAAAGAATTGCTCTATCTACTCTCCAGAATCACCTTGCTAACGCAGTGTCAGTGGAGGGAAAGAGTTCTTAAATCTATAGAAGGAAAAACAAGAAAAAGCACAGCTAAAGGAGTCCTACACCTGCCACTTCTGCCTAGGGAGGCCTATTTCCAGTATTTGTTCACTCAGTAAGTATTTATTAAGGGCATATTATGTTCCAGGCAAGGAAGAGGCAGTGGTAAACAGATATATTGGGTTCCTGGAACTTACAGTCTGATGGTTGGAGTTGGGAGGGGACATAGGTATGCAGAGGCATTGAAAGAATGATTCCACAAATGAATTTAAAGCTATAAATGATAGGGACATTCAAGGAAAATTACTGAGTTCTATGAAAGGAGAGACTTGATTTAGATTTGGGGATTCAAGGAAGGCCTGTCAGTGGCACTGACACTTAAGCTGAGTAAGAGTCATCAGGCTGGGAGTGGAGGCAGAAGGAATAGCATCTGCAAAGGCCCTGAGCCAGGAAAGAGTCCAGAGGATTTATGGGAAAGTATCATTAACTTTTAACAATGGATGCTTTTATCTAAGTCCAGGGGGCTACTACTGGGGAGTGGGGGAAAAATGAAAGTATAAGGAAAGAGTCTGATTGGCATTTTCTTTAATCACAAACCCTTCACCACCATTTCTAGTGCCAATACTTTTCTTGTTCCAGTTCAGCAGTGGTACTCACATCAGGGGCTGGGGTACAGTGGCTGATTCAGTTCCCTGGCCTAACTTGGGGCACACCCTGGAAAGCGAGACTTTCTAAGCACATTTTTATCTCCTGAAAGCTTGATATTCACACATCTGGCATATATAAGTAGAGCCTTTGCAGCAAATATTTGAGTATATCTTGTTTATTTCAGCAGCAAAGATAAATTTAGAATGGTGGATAAACAAATGGATCAATGAATAAACACTCATTTAATAACAAACATGAATCAAGAATCTATGGAAGTGGTTTCTCTGTTTTCACACTTGCCCTTTTATAATTCATTCTCTATATGCACAGCAACCAAAGTGACTTCTTAAGAAACATAAATCAGGTCATGTCCTTACTGGGCTTAAAACTTTCTGATGGTTTCCTATTGCACTTGGAATAATATCCGTGCTTCTCATGTGGCCTTCAAGGTCCTTCATGACTTGGCCTTTGCCTATTACTTTGACCACTTCTCCCCTTACTCATTCTGCTCTGGCCACACTGGCTTTCTTTCAGCTCTGCAACATGCTAGCATTTCTTCCAATTTTTGCACAAGCTGCCTTCTTTACTTAGAATACTGTTTCCCCAGACCCTCCCATGGCTGGTCTCAGCTCAGCATCCGAGCCTCAGAGAAACCCCATCTTATCACCCTAAAGTTGCCTTGTTCTCTCTCACTGCCTTTATCCTATTTTATTTAGGTAGGTAGATAAGGTTTCCCAAGGTCATGGCATTTATCCTAGGTCTTATAGGATACGTAAGAGTTTACTAGGCAGAAAATGTGGGAGAGGTACATTCTAGGCAGAAAGAAGAGCTTATACCAAAGCAAGGCGGTGGGAAAGAGCTCAGTATGTTTGGGAATAATGGGTAGGAAAGTATGGCTGGTACGCAGGGAAGAGTGAATGGCAAGGTGGCTGGAAAAGTAGATTGGGATCAGATTGTGAAGAGATGTACATTGTCTGCATGTTTAGGAATTTTGCTTCATCCTAGTAATGGTGACTCAGCCACACTTTCAAAGTAAGGAAGTAATGTGGTCAGATTTGAGTTTTAGAACAATAAACTCTTGTAACAATCTAGGGATGGCGGGGGGGGGGGGGGGATAGATGCAGAGACTGCAGCTTTTTGTCCTAAGATTCTAAAGGTTGGGAAGTTCCAATTCATATCCTAAGTTTACTTAATGATTCTTAGTATATTCCCTCTCATCCTCCTGAACTAGTCTCTTACCTTGTCCACATGCAGCATTATCTGTATGCCTTTTGTTGAGCTAGTTCCTTCTTTTTCTGGGCATTCTTGACACATGGTGATCTCTCACACACAGTATTTAGATCTAGGAAGGATATGCCGATGCTTTCTGTTTGATTTTTTTTTTTAAGTTTATTTATTTAAGTAAACTCCACCCAACATGGAGCTCGAACTCATGACCCCAAGATCAAGAGTCGCATGTTCTTCCAACTGAGCCAGCC